GTGGTGCCTGTCCCTGACTCTACCATAAACAGAAACCAGACAGTAAATGGGCTAGCTGACGACCCGGGGCCTCCCGTCGCCCTGATGGCTAGTACCAGTAATTGACACGCCTGCACTGTCCCAGGAGAGGAATCTTCGCCCATCACATACCAGAGGTGCCCATTGTCTGCATTTTCCCAGGTGTGAATTATGCTTTGCACCCTTCGTGGGAAACTTGGCATTCAAAGCCATTTTTCCTAATTGGCCACTTGAGCCCAGGAAGAAGCCTACATGACCCAAGGGGTATAAAAAGAGGTTCAGCCGCCCACCCCATTTGAGCTCCAATCATCTATACCTGCTGGCAGGTATTGATTGTCTCCCGAGGTCTGTGGGACGCCCAACCTCGCCCTACTTCTTCCCGAGGGATTGAGAGAAAGACGCTGGCCACGCCAAGTCTGGAACGCAGGGGTGAGAATATATACCTGCTATGTGTCTATTTTGCATGCATTTAATAAGAGCTCAGAGAACCAAAGGGTTTCATGGTACCTGTAAGTGACTTATTAGTGTAATTTCTGTCCTGTCCTTTGTAGTGTCTGTGTTATCTGTAACACAGTAGTAGCATTTAACAACTAAGTTTACCCTGTAACAATAAATAGTAACTGTTTAAGCTTTAACCTGACTCCTTCAGTTGCTGTAACAGAACCAAGCACAATTTAAAAGAACTTCAGCCGGTCATAAGGGACTTACTACCCTGACCGTCGGCTGACAGTCGGGTAGTCTAATTTACATGCCTCTGGCAACAAAGGCATGTAGTCTAGACATACCCTTTGATTCCATCGCCATACACGATATTTTATAATACTTTAATCATTCCTACAGCTCTTCTCTCAACCCTCTCCAGTTTATCAACATCCTTCTTGACCTGTGGACACCAGACCTGGACACAATATCCCAGTAGCAACTGCACAGGTGCACAACACAGCAGTAAAATATTCTCTCTGCTCTTATTCAAGATTCCCTATTTACGTAATCAAGGATGTATCACAATCCTTTTGGTCACAGCATTTCACTGGGAGTTCCCTTTCAGCTAATTATCACAATCCTCAATCTTTTTCCAGCATCCCTGCTTCCCAAGATAAAATTTCCCAGCTTACATTCTTTGTTCCTTGATATATACATGTGTATTTTAGCAGAATTAAAAATACATATTATTTGCTTGTGTCCAGTTTACCAAGCAATCCAAATCACCAGTCTCCTTCATTATTCACCACCTCATCAATGTAGTGGTCTGTTATCTGCAAACTTTATCAGTAATGATCTTCCATAGTGCAAGCCAGTGGTTCTCAAACTTCATTCCACCATGGCCACCTTCTGACTCCAAAAATTACTGTTGGAGCCCAAGAGAGGGTCTGAAGCCTGAGCCCATGTGAGACCTGCTGTCCCGCGCAGGGGGCCTGTAACCTGAGTTCCATCATCCAGGACTGAAGCCAAAGTCTGCTTAGCCCACCACCCAGGCTAAAGCTCTCGGAATTTGGACCTTAGCAGTAAGGCTCAGGTTTTGGCTTTGGCCCCCTGCCAGTCTAATGCCAGCCCTGTTGACTCCATTAAAAAGGGCTGAATCCCGTTTTGGGATCCTGACCCACAATTTGAGAACGGCTGGTATAGGCCATAGGCTGCATACTGGAGGCCAGAAGAGAGCAGCCTCCCCGAACCTCACACCGCTGGAGAAGGGCAGTGGCAGATTCAGAACACCCTGAAAAATCTCAACCTGCCAGAGGCCTAGGGCTACAGGAGCTCTTGCTTCGGGCAGTGGAGGAGGAGAAGTGAGGGAAGGCCGTGGGGGAAGGGACAGAGTAAAGAACTCCACTGCGGACCCAGCCAAGGCTGAGAGCTCAACCCCTATCAGGGCCAAACTTTCAGTCCCCCTCCCCTGTGCTCCCAATCGAGCAATCAGTCCTCCCCTCTCCCACTTCATCCAGAGCCAGAGGGAGAGGCTGTGAGCAGCACGTGGGATGGGGCCTCATCTGGAAGAGGCGGGCAGGGGGCTAGCCTCCCCTAGGCCAGCAGTTTCCAAATGCTGGTCCATGGCCCGCTGCCGGGCCATGCACCTCTCACTGCCAGTCAGTGGTGACTCTAGGGGCTGCGGTTGGGGTACACCGCTTCTGCCACGGCTCAAACTGAGTGATTGGGCAACAAAATGGCAAATGAAATTTAATGTGGATAAGTGTAAAGTAATGCACGTTGGACAAAATAATCCCAACTATACATAGAGTATGATGGGGGCTAATTTGGCTACGACAAATCAGGAAAGAGATCTTGGAGTTATCGTGGATAGTTCCCTGAAAACTTCCACACAGTGTGCAGTGGCAGTCAAAAAGGCAAATAGGATGTTAGGAATTATTAAGAAAGGGATAGAAAATAAGACACAGAATATCTTACTGCCCCTGTAAAACTATGGTACGCCCACATCTTGAATACTGTGTACAGATGTGGTCTCCTCACCTCAAAAAAGATATTTTGGCCTTAGAAAGGGTTCAGAAAAGGGCAACTAAAATGATTAGGGGTTTGGAACTGGTCCCATATGAAGAGAGGTTAAAGCAACTGGGACTTTTCAGTTTAGAAAAGAGGAGACTTAGAACAGGTCCCATATGAAGAGAGGTTAAAGCGACTGGGACTTTTCAATTTAGAAAAGAGGAGACTAAGGGGGGATATGATAGAGGTATATAAAATCATGAGTGGTGTGGAGAGGGTGAATAAAGAAAAGTTATTTATTAGTTCCCATAATAGAAGAACTAGAGGACACCAAATGAAATTAATGGGTAGCAGGTTTAAAACTAATAAAAGAAAGTTCTTCACGCAGCGCGTAGTCAACCTGTGGAACTCCTTGCCAGAGGAGGCTGTGAAGGCTAGGACTATAACAGAGTTTAAAGAGAAGCTAGATAATTTCATGGAGGTTGGGTCCATAAAAGGCTATTAGCCAGGGGATAGAAATGGTGTCCCTGGCCTCTGTTTGTCAGAGGCTGGAGAAGGATGGCAGGAGACAAATCGCATGATCATTGTCTTCTGTCCACCCCCTCCGGGGCACCTGGTGCTGACCACTGTCGGCAGACAGACTACTGGGCTAGATGGACCTTTGGTCTGGCTCGGGACGGCCATTCTTATGTTCTAATTCTTTCCTGTAGAGACTGTCCAGTTTGGCCAATATACATGGCAGTGGGGCATTGTTAGCATAGATCCATTAGTGGATGTGCAGTTTTAATGAGCCTCTGATTTGGTGGCTGATGTGGTTGGGTCCAGTGATGAAATTGCTAGTGTAGATGTGTGGGCAGAGTTGGCACTGGGGCTGATTGCAGGGTTGAGTTCCTGGATGATTATGATGGTGTGCTGTGGGGATACTGGAAAGAATTTTTTTGAGGTTAGGGGGTTGTCTGTAGGTAAGGATTGACCTTTCCCCCAAGGCCTCAAAGTGAGGGGACATTTTCCAGGATAGGCTGTAAATTGTTGATAATTCATTGGAGGAGTTTAAGTTGTGGCCTCTTTGAGAACAGATCCAAATAGTTATGCATCCACCTTATAGTAACCTCAACTAGGTTGTATTTCTTTAGTTTATTTATACAACAATATGTCCACCAGTTATAGGGCTTAAGGAATGGGTCTTTTGTTTTTTAAAACCTTGAAAAACTATATGCAGTGTTATTACAGGACAAAAAGTCTACACATCACCAATGAAGGATTGGCAATTAAACTCAAGGGCTAACTTTGCTCAGAAAGCAGACTGCTGTCAGCTAGTACCAATATACTGGCACCCAGACTGTTTCTAATCTAACTGACTATATTAATATTTGAAGACCAATTCCATGTATAGCACCAAGGGGCAAAACCAACAGTTTTTAGTCTTCACTTCAAGCCACAAAAAGGCAAGACCTGCTCAGTTCAGTCAATCACCCAGGGCGAATACTACGACTGAACAATCCGCCGGGCCGGGATCGCTGGCAGGCCCAGGAGGGCTCAGCCCCACTCCTGGGAATCTCGGTGCGTTTTCGAGCGGAGCTGAAGGGACTGGCCGCAGCGGGGAGCCTGCGTAGGCTGGGGACGGCCACGCCGACGAGAAGGGAATCCTCCCGGGGAGGGAGGCGGGGAAGCAGGTGGCAGCTGGGCGCACGAGGGAGCGAGTGCCCGGCGGGGCGCGGACGGGCGCCGGGTACTCACAGCGGGTGCCAGCGCTCGGGCAGGCGGCGGTGCAGGGAGATGCGGTCGCTCAGGTAGATGTTGATCTGGTGCTGCTGGATACTCGCTTCCTGGAGGCTCTTCTCTGCCTGGCTCAGCTGCAGCCGCACCGCCTGGCCCAGCTCGCCCAGCGCCCCGGGCTCCAGGGGCGGCTTCTCGTACACGGGTCTCCGCAGGCGCTCGGGTTCCGCGGGCAGCGGTGGCTGGGGGGCTCCGCGGGCCCCGCCGGCCCCACCACTTGCGGCCAGTCAGCCCCGCCATCCCCGCGCGTGGAGCGCGGCCCGGGAACTTTGCAAAGTTTCACGCAGCTGCAGGAGCGACACAACTCCCCGAGAGCGGGAGCCAAACCTCCCCCTCCAGGAAACCCGGCCGGATCCTCCGCCAGCGGCTCCTCCCTTCTCCCCGCCCCATCGCCAGCGAGACCTGTAGAGCAGAGCCGGACCGAGCAGCCTAAGGAAGCCTCAGCCTAGCAAGAGAAACCCAGCCGCCGCCTGCCTGTAGTTACCAGGCACAGACTTTGCCCTGAACTCCCCAAAGGGCAGTTGGGCGTGGCTGCTGCCCTGCTCAGCTTGTGCGTCTGCTCCAGGGGGGGAGGAGGGGGCTCTTGCCGGGCTCCCACACCCGCGGCTGAAACCTCTCCCCAAATGCAAACAAATCACCACTGCTCGTGGACAGGAAAAGGCCCTCGGATTGGAAATGCCGGGCAGGAAGGAGCTCAACACCTGAAGCATCTGCCCTTGAGGGAGCTTCAGAAAAACAGAAAGAGCTCCTCACAGCTCCTAGGATCCCGTCCCCCTTGCACTCAGTGAGTGACCACGCCTCCCGGTGTGGTCAGGCCGGTCCCTTTTTAAGCTCTGTCCCAGTCATCCCGACAAAGGCCCACTTGTATTTACAAAGAAAAAAAAGTAGGCTGAAGAGAGGAGGCATATGGCGAGGGGGTCAGTGGAGATGCCCGACAGGATGCTGGGCTGGAGAGGGGAGGAGGAAGGGCACAAATATCGCTGGGACTGGGAGGCCACTGCTTTCATTATTGGAAGAAGAAAGAGGCCACTGCTTTCATTATTGGAAGAATCCCTGACAATTGGAGGGGAAAAAGACACTGTCACTCTTAAGTGTGGGTACAGCAATGGCATAGGAATGAATACACAAGAGCTCCCTTTCCTCCTTCCGAATGTGTCTCTGGAGTGCCTTAAATCCCTGCTGTCCCCAAACACACAAACTAAGGCCAGTAGGTGAAAATAACATTTGATATAGCGTTTACTATGCAGCAACAGTATTTGTGATCATAGGTTTTCTTTGTAGGTTCTCTAGGATATAGAGCTTGCAGCCAGCTTCAGCTACTCATCATAGGTTCCCCTGGCTTCAACTCCTGCACTATACTCTAGCCCAGTGGTTCTCAAACTTTTTGGGCTCCAGAGCCCTTTATACGTGTAAAATTGACTGTATGTGTTGTACTTATGAGGTGCCCCAGTGGTCCACTGATTGTATGTGTTGTATCTATCGATGTTTCCAGTTTGTCAATCTTGCGGAGCCCCTGGAGATGTCTTGAGGAGCCCTGGGGCTCTGCGGAGCATAATTTGAGAAACACTTGCCTAGCCAGCCCTGCTTACCAACCTCAACCCTTCTTTGCAGCTGGACTCCACCTTTGTAGCCCACATCCCTCTGCTTCTTTTGCTTACAAAGTGCTGCACTTTTCTTAGCAGTATTAAGACAGAATAACTTTGCAAATGCATGAAATGAGCAGCAGTCAGATATGATTCTCTAACAAAAAAGAATGTGAGATCACTTTTATTGTTTTGCTAGTGCAAGTTCGATGAAGTTATCATACATATTGTTTTTGGTATTAGTTGGAGATGGAAGTGAAAACCTTATGGTGTGTTGGAGTAAGTTAACTACAGTGTTGTAGACAGCATGAAGGTGGAAATGAATGCTCAAATCTTTCCACTTATTTCTTTTCTTTTAAAATTTTGTGTGAATGGGGTGTGTGTTGATGCAGCCTTCCCTGTCGATAAACATTAACAAAAAAGTATTACAACAAAACCACAGTTTCATTAGAAAATAGTGTGTGGGATGACAGAATTGAAGGGATCATCAAAGCTCTGTTATAATGAAAAAACAACTTTGATTTACACAAATTCCAGTGGAGATATAGATGACTCACATACTACATTCAGGGTAACAATTTGATAGATTTGTCCAGGACTGGGAGTCTATTCAAAGTTACACAATTTCAAATACCACAGGATTACAGCAGCTGACATATTCCTACCAGTAGCCCAAAGACTTTGATATATTATGTATGCTATGAGCCAGCAATGGAATAGGATGTTAAGTGACAGAATTAATGAAGAAGTACAAAAAAGGATAACAGTTGCCAAAAAACTTGATGGTATTCCAGGGTTGACAGCTCTGCTGCAGGGAACCTGCAAGCTGCTGGACACTCCAGGCTGCTAGGTTTTCTTGCTATCCAACCTGGGGATGAATTGGGATTGTGCAGTAAAGGAGGCTGTTGTCTATGACACGTCCCTCATTTATTGCAGAATTGAGAGGTGTGTACTACTATTTGTGTGTACTGGGACAGCCAAGTCTAGGCCTGCCCAAAGTCAGAGCCCTCCTCTGCCCCCTCAACCAAGAGGGAGGAGCCATTGGATCCAGGCCAAGTGAGTACTGGGGACAACAAATGAAAAAAAACAAGGGACAGGAGGTAAAGCTAAAGATTGAAATTCTGTGATTCAGAATGATACACTGAGCAAAGAAAACACCTGCAGTGCCCACCGTTTTTCATAGATGTCTAAGGCCAGGTCTACACTGGTGGAGAAAATCAATGTAAGATAATGATAATTATGTTGTTGAAGTCAATGTATCTTACACTGATTTTCTTGGGTGGCCCCGTAGCAGGAGATTGATGGGAAAAATGCTTCTGTTGACTTTCCTTACTCCATGCAACTGCAAGGAGCATCGTGGACGACAGGGATGCCGTCAATGTTCAATTTAGTGGGTCTTTATTAGACCCACTCAATTGAATGCTGGAAGATTGACTGCCACAACCTCAATCTGCAGCAGTGAAGACAAGCCCTTAGGAATCAGGGAACACCATCAGAGGAACTCTGTACGTGTGATAGAATGAGGGACCAAAAATAGCACAACACTTTCAGAACACCACCTCCATCTAGCTTCCTCCTGGATGGCCATCTTGGGCACGTCCAGAAGGGTGTTGACAAGGAGGTCTGGCAACTTTGTGGTGCCACAAAAAAGAGCTGTATAAATGGAGAAGTGCAGGGAGAAATGCAGCCAATACAGGCAGTCCCCGGGTTACGTACAAGATAGGGACTGTAGGTTTGTTCTTAAGTTGAATCTGTATGTAAGTCGGAACTGGCGTCAGCCGCTGCTGAAACTGACCGCCAATTCTGACTTACATACAGATTCAACTTAAGAACAAACCTACAGTCCCTATCTTGTACGTAACCCGGGGACTGCCTGTACTGCTCACTGCATAGTTTGTAAATGGGGGCGGGGAGGGTGCAGTGGTATCCATACACATTGCCAATTGTGAGACTGGAGCCTTGGGCCTTCATTATTGAACCACCATTTTACAATTAACAGAGTTGCTCAATGGAATTTTTGGTTTTAGATTCCAACTGAGATGAGCGATGGCTCTTCAGATGGCACAAAATCTGCCTGAGGAGGCCTGCATTCTTCGGATAGTAACTCTCATGTTCACCACTTTGGAAACCTCTGTAAACAGGTGCTGAACAGTTACCTAGGTAGCCCTTTAAACAGGTTGAAGTAGCTCTCTACATCAGATCTTTGCAGTCAAATACCTCCATTTTCTATATGGTTCTTAGGGTTAATGTACAGGCATAATTGAAGAAGTTTATATGCTTAACACATGAATTTTGTGAATTGTATAGCAGGACGTGTACTTTCACTCATCTTCACATTAGAGAAATAACCAGTGTCAGGGAGAACAGTGCCCATGGAAAAATTAGCCATAATGCAAGTGGGCTTGAGGACTATAGTAGTCAGTTTTAAAAATTAGGTGGCAATGAAGGCAATATGAGTTCAGCAAGGAACCCCTATCCTCATGATGAAAATGAATAATTCATTCTGAAGGCCTGTCATAGGAGGATATCCAAGTATTCAACTGAGCTTCAATTGCCCCTATGGAAAGGGGTCTTCCTAACCTTACAAGCAGGCTCATGACATTCCCATCAATAAAAGCTTTTCTCGCCTGGAGTACACGGGCGGCAGAACCGCGAGGTCCCGCAGTCCGTGTACTCCGGGGCAGCCCCGTTCGTAACTGCGGATCCGACATAAGTCGGATCCGCGTAAGTCGGGGACTGCCTGTACTTCAGTGAGAAGTTCAGGAGGAGCTTGTAAAGGTTCTTCAGCCTGCTGCACTCTACATCAAAGTGTGTCAGGATGTCCCATGCACTGCAGAAAGTACAGCTGTCAGGGGAGTTCATGAACTGTGCCAAGTATACTCCTGTGATTACAGCTCCATGGAGGAGCTGCCAACTAATATCCTCAGCAGGCTGAGGATTCCCAGGGTGTGTCTAGACTACATGCCTCCGTTGACGGAGGCATGTAGATTAGCCAGATCGGCAGAGCGGGGCAGCCATTTAAATTTAAATGAAGCCGCGATTATTTTAATCGCGGCTTTATTTTCCTCTGCCGATCTGGCTAATCTACATGCCTCCGTCGACGGAGGCATGTAGATTAGCCAGATCGGCAGAGCGGGGCAGCCATTTAAATTTAAATGAAGCCGCGATTATTTTAATCGCGGCTTTATTTTCCTCTGCCGATCTGGCTAATCTACATGCCTCCGTCGACGGAGGCATGTGGTCTAGACACACCCCCAGAGTGGAGTACAGACTAGCCCACCAGGGCTCCCCACTCTCCTTAGGTTGCAGCAGCTCCCACCACTTGGTCTTGGGGCAGGACATGAAGATGAGTATAAGCTTGTGCAGATGTTTTCTGGGTGCAGCTCAGAAACAGACTGGGTGGCTACAGTGCCAGACTGAGCTGTAGTTGCGCCCTGGGCAGCGGGCGCGCAGCTCATGTACGGCCCTGCCCCCAAGGTGCACGGCGCCCCTTACCACTTGCATCAGGTGCCCCCCATAGGTTGGCGCCCTGAGCATCTGCCCAGCTAGCCCCCCCTTAATCTGGCCCTGGCTGGCTATCAGTCAGCTGTTTCAGGTGTCAGAGGTGAGTT